TGAATGTAACATTAGCCTGGTAGTCAAATAGCATTAGCATGATGCTCAGTGCAACAGGAAGACATAAAAAAAAGAAAGCTCTTATGTGGATCCACCAGCTCTTTTGATTTACTGAGAAAATAATTTGTCATAAGTTTCCATCTAAACACACAAAGCAGGTTGAGGGAAATGCACCTACAGAGAGAGATATCTCTATTAGTCAAGCAAGCTGGTGAATGATGTAAAAAATTGTACGAGCTTAGCTATCTAGGTTATTAGAAAATGCGCTTATACAGTATAATTTTCAAAAACTCCTTTTCTACCAGTCACATGTGCCAGTGCACAACAAAAACAAAAAAACTGGTCATTTGCCTCTAACATTTTAGTGAAAGTGAGATTATTTCTTTCTTCATAACCATTTAAATATTAGTATAACATAACATAAACTTCAATTAATACTTTTCCAGTGTTTAATGAATAGCATTAATTGACTTAATTGTACTATAAGACTTAATAATACATAACACCTACCTACCTTTGAACTTACATGGCAGGCAGAAAGAAAAAACTACAGTATGTAACATGTACATTTGTATCTGCAGAGTCAGATGGCTTCAAATCACTGGGACACAAAATGGCACCTTTCTCTGTCTTTATCACACTTCACCATCTGATCGTTTGCTTTTGTTAAGAAGAGATTTTTTTAACATCATACAGCACATAGGAAACTGGGCCATTTTAATCATTTGAATCTCAGTGTAACCAGGTCAGAAATCTACCAGGTACATGTAGGTCAGAGTCCATCTTGGCTCCCACGTGGCTCTGACCACAGCTTTCTCTTGCTTGTCACTTGTCATTGATATACTAGTGCCTGCATGCAAGTTTTCTAAATACTACAATATGATAATTATACTGTAAGCTAATAATTTATAGTACTTTGAAACTGCAATGCACCAATATTAGCTTAGCTGTTTTTTGGGAAAACAGTATTGCAGTAAAGGCTTTGAGTAAGGAACAAAAAAACCAAATACATCTACACATTTGTTATCTTAAAATTAAAATTCAGCAAATAGTCTCCATGCTCCTTTGCAAGTCTCCAAACACAAACAAACCAGAGTGTTTCTAGAGATGCTGAAACACATCTGGTGCTCTGTGCCTGGTCTGGTATTTAGTAGATTGTACCAATGAGGAAATCTTTCGATTAGAACTAGGAAATTGCTTCTGTCAAGACCACTCAACAGGGGGAGATAGCTCTTCCTCAAACTGGATCTCAATTTAATCTAATGTGACATCTAGATAACCTTTATCGTGGAAAAGAAAGAAAGGATATGTCCCAGTGCCAGAGGACACTGGGTTGTGTATTTCCTTGTGCTGAGTGGAGACATGACCCTAATGTGTTAAATGTGTTTAGGGAGTGTTGATCTATCTTTTGTAGTTCTACTTGTGTTGATCAAACAAACCAAGACTACCACTACTTCCCAGCTAACTCTGATTTACAAAATAAAAAACAAAGCTTGCACAGCTGCACCATTTTGGGGAAAAATGAGTATCACAGTACTGTGGATGTAGCCTGCACATGTTCCAATTAAAAGTTTAGTAAGCACAATAAATGTGCAGAATGAAATCTGCCACATGGGGTTTCAAACTGAGTTGCAGGAACTGTAACTCACTCTGTGGGTTACCTTTATCTTATGGAGAAAAACGTTCTTTGTAAACGGACTCATGCATTCCTTTTGTAACCATCTTAATTGCCAGTTCTTCCTGGTCAAGAGGTGGTCGCTGAATTGACTAATTCTGCAGGATTAGTGCTCTGTGGTGGTGATCCAGCCAGCCAAACAAATGTGACCTTATGGTGCAGAATCTGTGCATGCACAGCTATACACTGACTCCATAGGAGGGGGCACTTCAGTCAAAGGATTAGTGGGAATCAACCAACCAGGCACACCCCACCTTTTCAAATTCTTTTTCTTGACTTTGGCAGACTTGTTTAACAAAAATCACATCACAGAAGGGGGGGGGGACTGGTGACACAACAAGCAAAATACCAGCCAAATGAAAAAAGAGGAAACCCAGAGTAAGGTAAGCCTATAGACAGGAGAGCTAAGCAAACTCATAATGTCCACAGTTTGTGCTCCAGGGATGTTTTTAATCTCTACGGGCCTAAAGGAGAGTGCTTGGAGATAGGTGGACATGCTAGCACAGGAAAACACAAAACCCAGGGTTCACGTGTTTCAGGTGACATTTTGTTCCCAACAGCATTCAGTTCTGCAGGATTGCACAGCTAAATAAAGAGTAAACCCAGATGACAGCCTGCTCTACAAGCCCAAGCAGCATCTGGGAGACAGCACTCAAGGAGAGGTAATGTGGTCACAGTGTAAAAAACACAATATTCCTCCTCTCTGTCACTGACTAATACAACATGATCTATCCTTTGTCCAGTTCAGAAAACTTTTGTATGTCTGTTCTAAGCACTTTGTTTATAGTCAATATTTCCTTGGTCAAATTCTCTGCCAAACTGCATTTTACTTTTTTTAAGTTCAGTGGAAAAGATGTAGGGATGAACAACTGGTGAATTGATTTTTACATTTCCACCATGTGCAAGTGTGCACACAGTATTTCCCTTCTGCAGGGTTCTGTACACCTGAACAATACATACTGTGATTTCCCTGAGCATAAACAAACCAATCAACCAGTCAATAGAGACAGCAAGCCTTGGGGTACTGCTGAGCAACTAATAAATAGAGCAACAATGAGGGAGATAGCATGAACAGAAAAGAGCACCACCACCAAAATCTCTAACAGAAAATCCACAGGAAGTTGTCACAGTGCTACAGACTAGAAACACTACAGCAACAGCTGAAAGATATGAGGATGTCAAAAGTTATTATTAAATATAATTTCACATCACCTTTTAATTTCAGGATTCTTTATTAAGCTGCTGCTCTGCACTTCTCAACAACTGGATTTGTACAGCAAATTGCTGAATTATTCAGTGTATGTCTCTACGAAGGCTGAAAATGTGTTCTTTTGGAAGATTAGAGCCAGACATTGATCAAAATACATAGTTTTAGAGGCAGCTTTGCTTTAGTTTTCAAGCTGTATCTCCTTTTTGGACATTTATTCTTGATACTTATTCACATTCCTGCCAAGAGTTAAATGAGAAGACTCATCTCTGTCCCTTCGGAGCCAGGAAACAGTTAGGTTAGCTTAGCATAAAGACTGTAAGTAGGAGAAATAGCAAACCCCAGCCTCACAAAATGCAACCAAACATTCAACTATAACAACAGAACATACAGTAAATCAGCTGAATGGTGAAACACACTCCATGGTCAACAGTACCTGGGCACCCAAACATTACACACATAACATCTCAGTCTAAAACCAGTCAAACTGTTCCAAACCAACCTCAAGTTGGAGAACAAATGGTTCAGCAACACTTGCAGTGTTTGAAGCAACTTTAATGTGGAAACCGTGTTGGTCTTTACATTACCGTTGCTCCAAACAGACAGTGCTGCTGGACTTTTTGTTGCCCAGGTTGTTTTTCCTGTGTTTGTGCACCTAGGCAGTGGGTGAAGTTGTGCCAGAAATTTCTGCTATATCTGAATAGCAAAGGTTGCTTTCAGATTTTAAACTGTCTTATACTGTAGTATTAAGGTTTTCTAAGTGGTCATAATAAACTGTATACACGCACATCCACATATATTTGTCATTAATTTGTGGAGATGGCATAGTATCATTGTGCTGGTACACAATTACAAATCTGAGTTCATGATAAGAAGGTCTTGTTATAATAGAAAAACACAAAGAGAAAGAGAAATAGGGAAAATGTGCATTTATATGCAAGAAGAAATTTAATTGGATAAGAGTCAAACTTATTTGCATTCCAGGTTTTGGTTTCCAGCTCGCTGGCAGCCTTAGATATCATTTGCCATTCTACAGCTGATTGCAAATCTGGGATCTGGTTTCCTTTCTATATCTAAATATTAATAGTCTCCATTACATGAAATTGCTTTCATCTCTGACTCACATGGAGGGATTAGATTTTAATCAATGCATTAAATATGACTTTCTATTCCTGCAGATGGGAATAGATGGCATGCTCAAGTCTTTGCTATCACAAGGTGGTAAGAGCATAAACAAAATGACAGTGCTGTGTGATAACGAGGCGATATAATGATGAGCTGCTGTCAAAGATTAATACACTAATACACTTTCAAACCAGCTTTGAAAATATGTTTTTAATGATTAAACATAAAATTTGCAAAAACTGCATTTATGGAACATTTATGTTCTTCAACTCAACATCGGAAGCTCGGTCCTCAGTCACGGCTGCTCCAAAACAGCAATATCCAAATGATACAATATGTCATACTTTCAGCTGTCCTTGTTAGTCTGGGAATGAAAGACATGTCTGTGAAGCATTTTAGCCAAAAAAATGAAACCGATTTTGTTCAAGGGAAATTCATCCTAGAGCAAAAATGTTGTGAAACATACAAGACAAGACACGGAGTAGATAAATATGTCAACAAGTACAAAAACTAAAACTGAATATCTAAAGGCAGCAGACAAAATATTTAAATATACATATTTAGATGTTTTAATTTTGTACTGTACAACTGAATATTTGTTTGATATTTTTTAGCCAGTGCAGACTGAGCCTTGGCCTCAAAAGTGGAATTTCCCCTTAAAAAAAGTGAATTTGACTGTATATAATGTGTAACACCTGGTGGGCAATGATGACATGCAGATAATATTAAAGAGATTAATTTACCATGAGATTAAATGGTCTTTCCAGAATATTAATATATTTCAACAGCTAAAAGTTTTTTTTGTGGCTGGGAACATTTTCTTATCTCCTCATGTGTTAAATGAAATGTGTTCTCTCTCGTTCTCCTCTGTACTCCGAACTAAATGACAGATGCTCCCAGGTGAGAGCAATAAAACCTGATTGCTTGATGACACACAGACTTGCTCTCTCTCTCTCTCTTTCTGGTAGCTGTTCCAGGGTATTTATAACAAACCAAAGTGGCTTGTAGGTTGTTGTTTGGTGCTTTGTGGCTTACAATGGCTCAGGTAGTCATTTTTATTTTTATGCTTATGACACCTGCTGTTTCAAGAAGACATTTTTTTAGTGAGAAGCCAAGTTGTTACCAGCCAGTGGCCAGGAAACCTGGTTTTGGGGTGAAGTGAGTTGACTTTGTGTTTCAAAGCAGCTAGATAACTTGACAAGTGGGGGATCAATTTTAAATTTGTATGAGATCTAAGTGGGGTCTGATGGGAGTAAAAAAAATGAAGATATAAAAAGCTCAAGGCTTTCAAGTACATGCTATGATTTAACAACTTTTAAAGCTCTTATTGTGATCAGAGTAAATCAACCCTTGTATTGCTCTAAATGTGTCTGTTTTTGGCAAATAACTCCTCGCTGGTCTAAAGTAGATTCCTGATGTGTACATGGTAATGTTGTGCCGCTGTGAACATTGACTTTGAAATAACAGAACTGCAGCTAGTCCTTTTGAACTCCTGAACCTCATTCAACTGCCAAAGTCCTGGGACTGGAGGAACGTAAATGGCATCAACTATGCCAGTATCACTCGTAACCAGCACATCCCTCAATACTGTGGCTCTTGCTGGGCTCACGGCAGCACCAGTGCAATGGCAGGTAAAGTTTATAGCTTTGATTTGTCACACAGGCTTTATTTGGTCTTGGCCATATTTTAAATGAATTCATCAGCAACAGCCAGAGGTTTAGATCATATAGACTGTGCAACAGCAGCTGGCTTCTTTCTTTGGTAGGGACTTGCTTTTAAATAAAACTGCACATGGTGTTTTTGAAATGGCTTTTTAAAGTTAGATGTTTTCCATAACTTAAGGAACCGTAATTTATTCAGCTTGATTTACACCTTGGAATAAAATAAAGTAGGGGCTGTTTTGTAGCATTAATTTTCACATGTAAATATGTGGTGAGATGAGATTCAAGGGACAAACTCTATAATGCGTTGTATTTGGATTTCACACATTTGGACAGGAGCGTTGCTGTAGGAGAAATGTGAACATTTTCTCAATAATAGACTGCAAATTAAATTTTGTGGCAAAATAAAAAAATCCCCTCCTTGTAGACCGTATCAACATCAAGCGGAGAGGAGAGTGGCCATCTGCTTATCTGTCTGTCCAACACGTGGTAGCCTGCGCTGAGTCTGGGACCTGTCGAGGGGGGGACCATAAAGGGGTGTGGGAGTATGCCCACAAACATGGCATCCCTGACGAAACCTGCAACAACTATCGAGCAGTTGACCAGAGTAAGAATTTAAGCAGCAGTAGTGTGATTGGATTTAATGATGGTACTGTAACCATGCATTACATTTCATATTTTTCTTTACAGAATGCAATGGACTCGCTGCATGTGGGACTTGCACAATGTCAGGGTGCAGTCACGTGCAGAACTACACACTGTGGAAAGTGGGTGACTTTGGAGCCATTAGTGGACGAGATGATATGATGGCAGAAATCTATGCTCGAGGACCAATCAGGTAAGATTCATGTTATTGCGTAAATTTTGAATCATTTGGAATTTTCCTATATTACTGAGTCACTTCAAATGTTCTACGAGCAATGGCTATGAAAGTCGTATCACTTTTCTTTGTTCATGTTACTTCACTGAATCACTCTTCCTTCAGCTGTGGGATCATGGTCACAGAGAAACTTGATGCATACACTGGGGGTCTGTACTCTGAGTATGTCTGGAATCTTGACCTCAACCACATCGTGTCGGTGGCGGGATGGGGAGTAGAAAATGGAACCGAGTACTGGATTGTACGCAACTCCTGGGGAGAGCCATGGGTGAGTCATCAGAGTAACTTAACAGCCTCCATTCTTGTATGGATCAGAAGCTTAAACTTTGCATTTACAAAGTGAATGTTGGACTGAAACAGTTGGTTTATATTCCAAATGACCTCCCTTTAGGGTGAGAAGGGCTGGCTAAGGATTGTGACAAGTGCCTACAACGGAGGAAGTGGAAGCCACTACAATCTGGGTTTGGAGGAAGACTGCATGTATGGAGATGTGATTGTGCCCTCGACTTATTAGTAGCTATTAAGGACCATGCATTTAAATTAACTATAAGATTTGAGTCTAATTAAAATTTTAAGATCCATGGTGTCATGATTGTAATGTTCATCTTTTTTATATGCACCTCAAACTAGGATCATCATCCACAGAGCCTGTGGGCCAGACGGCACCAAATTGGTTATCTAATGGAATTGTATGTTTGCTTATTGAGCTTTCTCTACTTGAAGAAAGCTGGAACAATGACTCTGGCTTTGTTTGTAGCTGGGCAACATCTGGTACCCAAAGCTGCAGAAAAGCCAGTTTTCATGCTGGAAGAGGCTTTTCACATAGGGGCCGTTGTGTACATCTTGAGTTGAACTATTCTCATAAGGCTTACTACACCTGAGACCCTGTGCCTCTTAAAACTTGTAGAAGTTCAAGTAAGCATTCAACCTTTATCTGCTTAAAAAGTTGGGAAGCTGATTTCAGGTCAAGGGGAAACTTGCACAATTTTGCTCTGAGGCTCTTTGCACTAAACTCTGCGACCTGTCCAGGGTGGACCCCGCCTCACGCTCAGTGTCAGCTGGGATTGGCTCCAGGCCCCCACCGCCCTATTCAGGAATGAGCAGTATAGATAATGGGTGGGTTCTTTACACTGATTTCAGAATCTTTCTGTGGGTCTTGCAGGAAACGTATCCTGCTCTTAACTGACATGCTCCATTTGTTTCAGTTTTGTCATCCTTCTGGACCAACATTCTTTAATCAACAGTTATCTACAGGGGCACGTGCAGCTGCACAATGACATCCTGTGTTTATATAAACACTTTTTTTTTTTTTTTTTTAAGGGAACACAAAGAAATTGTGCTTAAATATTTGGAGTGCAACTACAATAAAAATGTATAAACCACAAGCTGCTGCCAATTAACAGCAGTTTCCATTCAGTGACTGGAGAACAAAGGATCATCAATCCCTATGCAGTGCTGCTGACTTGAAACCTCAGAACCAAAGCAAACCTTAACACCATAATGTTCTGGTGTGTCCGAGTGGAAACCCACTATGTTCAATATTGTTTTCACAATTTGGTTGCTCAATATTATGCGATCAAGCCTCCGCCCTCAAGCAATCGTTCACGTGAAATCAAATTTGTGCTCTGATTAAATTTCCTGCATGTTTTCTCATTTGCATAATCACAAACAGAGCTCTAATGGCTGTGAATGAAAACACATGGTAATCGTTGTCTGAGGCACAAAAGAGCAGCTTTTCTAGTGTGATAAAATTGGTTTAAAAAAAAAACATTTCTGGCTCCAAATGCACATAAGCCAGTTTCATCCAGCATTCATCTTCATTACAGGAAATGTCAGGAAATGAAAACGTGGGTTTTTCAGCTGTTCCTGCTCACCCATTATGTATCATTTCTGTTTTCTATATGTGGCTTTACAAACATGGTCGTGGTGATTAATATATAGAAAGTTATCTTTGCTACTGCTGAGGTCTGGATTGTCAACTTAAATAGAATCCACTTCTAAAGTCTTTGAGCAAGGCATTGTAATGATTTATCAATAGCAGCTGCCTCTAACCACAGTATAAAAAAATGGAGAAAGCTTTGTGGCGTATGTGCTTTGTGTAATCCCTAAGCATTCCCTTTTCCAAGGCCTCTGCTCAAACTTGCCTGACAAAATATGCATGAGAGAATGAAGGATAACCAGACGGCCACAGAACACACTGTGGTATTTAACAGAAAAATGTATTGTCTGCTTTAGTCTAAGAGGTTACAGACACCATCTCTGATGTTAATGATTCAAAACATGCCTGATGCATTTAAATTACAGATGCAATAAGGATGGAAAGGGGATCGTATTTCTTTTCTCTATGCATCCCTCAGTACCAGCTATTCATCTAATGTGAAATATGAATTGAGCAGAATTTTCATCCCAAATGTGACAAATCTTGTTCTGTTTGCCTAGTTCACATCACAGGATGTGCTAATGGTTATTATAATGGATGGAGCATATCAGTGGAAGCTTAGCTTTATGAGATGGTATAAATAATGTTATCACACCCATAACTTCAGCAAAACTATCATCTGCACTGATTTGCTTTGCATAATAGGAAAAAAAATCCATCACATATTGCTAATGAGGCTATGCAGAAAATATTTGATCGAGTGTAGTGTCTGTTTTAGCCAGCCACCACTTTTCCTGATTATCTGTGTTTTCTCCTCACAAGTAAAAACACTTGCACAACAATCACTTAGTCAGTGTGATCCCTAAATCGATTTACAGTCATTGGTACCCTGCTGATGCTATGCATCATTTCACCGCTAATCTCACTTCCGTGTCCAATATTCTCCTCCAGCCTAGAGGCAGCACCAGAATTAGCTTTAGTTAATGAATAAGCATTAATCCCTCTTAGTCACAACAAAATTACGGAATAATGTGGCCATAAATATTTCAGTTATACAAGAATCTGCTTGCACAATTTGCCCTGGCTTGCATAAAAAAAAAGCATTGGTGATTACATACATTATTAATGCTTCATCATAAAATTCATAGTTTGCACTAGCTGGATGGGGACTCTGGGACGAACATTCAATGATCAGTCAATACTATTCCAAACTAACTTGCTGAACACACAGAACAGAGAGAAATGGCCTCTGGCCTCTGGCGCTCACTGAACCATGCTTTCGTTCTGCTTTTATCACTCTGTCTCCTAAGGTGGTGCATTCTTATTGGATCTCTTAAAAATAGATGCAAAGCTTCCAAGTCAGTGAGTTCTGCAGCCTTAGTTTTAATTAGGATACTAGTCACTTGTGTTATCATTGTTTCAAGAGGGCTGCTTCAACATTCCTGAGCTGCCCACTCCATCATAGGATCAGAGACCCACAGCAAGTGGACTCTTCAGGACACCTGCCTCAGTTTGCCTCAAGAATCAAAATCTGGATCATTTCTATTACTGATGGTGAGTAAGTGTACCGGGATCCAACCAACGGGATTATTCCAGAGACATTCGTTATATGACACTCTTTGTATAAAAGGGTTTTTGCATGCTGAAAAACACTCTTGCTGTCATAATGGAGGCCCATGATTCCTGAATTACTGCCTATATTGTTGTTTCAGATAAAAAAAATGAATACCTCAAGTAAAGTTAATGGTCCATTTTGACAAAGTAGTCTACACTACACCATTTGTGTTTCATTTTGCTTTATCATATTTAATTGTAGTCAACACTCATATAAAAAGCAACCAGAAGTAAGAACATTTGTCAGTTTTCCTGGGTGGCCCTGGAAATCTTGATTAAATGTTCAGTGACTATCAGACTAGTTTTATCACTGTAGCATGTAGTGCACATCTCTTACAGAATTAGGAAGGAAACTTAGGGTAGGCCCTATGAAAGCCACTGAGAGTGCACTGCTTAGTTTAAACAGTAATGGAGAAACTTGTGAGTGCCGCTGTTTTTCAGTGCTGGTAATGCCACAAACTAAATTCTGACTAGATACCACTATAGGTAAACTGTGTGACCTGACCTGTTTAAAAACACCACATGACACTGCACTATTAATTATGCAGCTTGACAGTGGATTTTTCATTAGAACTTCATCCAAAAGAAAACAGTTTATTATAGTTATAAGTCCTAACTTCATTTGTTAAATCTGTACAGTTTCACTGTGTGCTCCTTTCCCCCAGTGGCCACTGTTGCTTCAGTGAAATCAAAGTTTACTAGCAACATTGTCTAGTGGAACTTAATGGCTGAGTTGCATCTTCCAGTCAGAGTCCATCATTGTACTGTAGGTTTTGTTTGGTGCACTTACTCACTCAGCAGAGGAAAAGAAAGCAGGGAGAGGTCATTTGGTTTGCTGTAAATAAACTGACCTGTAACTGCACTATGCTGCCCCCTATTGAAAACTGCTCTGCACATTATGATTATGAGGACTGGCTGATGTGGCGTTTTGTCTGGATTTGGTGAAATGTTCATGTCAGAACTGAGAAAAAGCCCCAACTAAGCATTTATTGACTATACACTGAAAGCTTTTTTTTTTTTTTTTACTTTTATAAAGTCTGCAGTTGTGGAAGTAAAAAAACCACCTTGATTCTGAGGTTTTATGATTTCTGCATGTACAAATCAAACGCTCCAGTGGTAAATATAATGATCAGATCTAGATTTTGTCTTAAGCGATGGCCTACCTGTATGTGTGGCAGGTCATTTCCTGGTTTTAAAACCCATTTCAGTTGGTAGAATGTGTTGTAATGAAGACAAATTACTGTAAAATTATCAAGACAAAGCATTGTAGAAATAGTGTGACAAATTGCATTATAATTAACTCCTTCATAATCTAAGTTGGTTATTTGAATTTAAAATCACCATAGTATGTCCCATAAATGAAGCCATAAATCTCTTCAGTATGTGGAAACATGGGTCTGTTTAATAGGTTTTCCTCATGCTGATCCACTTTTAATGTAATAGGATGCATTTACAAAGATGATTTCTGTCCGGGGCAGTGAGAGGATGTCTGCTGACCAGAACAAAGGGCCTTTGCTAGTGGAACACAAGGGGTTAAGGTGTGTGAACGCACAAAGATAAACGATATTGATTCACAAAACATGGGGGACTGTAATGTTTTTAACCCAAAGAGGAACAAAGAGCTAAGCTGTCCTCCTCCAATTGATTGGTACTTGCACTGAAATAACGTAATTAACTACAGTAAGGCTTTGTGCGTGAAATTATTGTTCTGCTCACTTCACCAAATCATTAACTATTAACAACTTTTTAATTCCCAGAATCTCTAAACGTCAGAATGGTGACTGATGTCGACAAGAACACAATTCTGTGTAATTGTGGTTTTGAAGAAAGGGAGCCCGCTTTCACCTTATCAGAAACTTGGTTTGAAGCGACGGCGCCCCGCCCTCCTGGTCCTTATAACCAGAAAGCCTGTTTGCCGGACGCTCAAACACAACAGGAACACTGGAGACTGTTTCGCTGTACAGGAACCTGGAGACGAGCTCTGGCTACAACCACTTTTTAGGATTACACTGGTTGTTTCACCTTTTGACAGCAACAAACCACCAGAAGTAGCCATGGATTTTCTCAATCACAACTATTTGAATGCGCGCAGCCCATATGACTACACTTTCAATTTCTGGAACGACTATCTCGGGCTGACGACGTTGGTTACAAAGAATAATAAGCTCAGCATGCCACAGAATCCCAACTCCATCACTGAGTCCCTGAAAGCCACCCTGGGCTTGGACGATTCCCCGGCGTGTCCGTGCGTAATCGTAGGCAACGTTGGAGAGAGCGGGCACTTAGACTGTTGCTGCCCGTCCGGGAGCCCCCCGCCGGCCTCTATCCTGGACTTAAAAGAGCGTTTCTCGATACTGAGCCCCTTCCAAAACCAGCTCGGGGTCCAGGTGCCGGAGCGGGAGGTGGGGTTTGGTGGAAGCTTCGCGGGGTTTGATCTGTTCGGCATGGAGAGAAAGATGCGCAAACCAGCTTCCAGGAGCAAGCAGGAGCCAAAAATCTGTGTCTTCTGCCGAAATAACGGAGCGCCGGAGGAGGTGTATGGCTCCCACGTCTTGAAGACTCCGGATGGCAGGGTCGTGTGCCCGATTTTGAGGGCTTATACCTGTCCCCTTTGCAGTGCCAACGGGGACAATGCCCACACGATAAAATACTGTCCACTGTCAAAAGACCAGCCATCCCAGCGACCATTAAAGGGAGGCAGGGCTGTGGGTGGTAAAAGGATGAAAATATTCTAAACAGACAAGACTATAAAGTAAATTGAATTGCACTGAACAATTTCCACGACTGTTTTGATTTAGACTCAAGCCTTTATCCCAGTTTCATAAACATATTGATTTTCTTTTTTTTCTCTGAGATCTTATATTTTTATAGTTCCTTTATCCACATAGAATGATTTTATGCTTTATTTTTCCTTCTAGTTTGTAGTCATTTGAGCGTGTGCATATATATACACACACACCTATGTATCAATAATTA